GTTCTGAGTGAGCATCGAATGGGTGTGAGAGATTTGGTTTAAACACACTCATATATACACATACATATTTATACAGGTCCTTCTCAAAAAATTTGCATATTGTGATAAAGTTCATTATTGTCTATAATGTACTGATAAACATTAGACTTTCATGTATATTGGATTTATTACACACAACTGAAGTAGTTCAAGCCTTTTATTGTTTCTAACATTGATGATTTTGGCATACAGCTCATGAAAACCCAAAATTCCTATCTAAAAAAATTAGCATATTTCATCTGAACAATAAAAGGGTTTTTAGTACAAAAAAAAAAAGACAACCTTCAAATAATTATGTTCAGTTATGCACTCAATACTTGGTCGGGAATCCTTTTGCAGAAATGACTGCTTCAATGCGGCGTGGCATGGAGGCAATCAGCCTGTGGCACTGCTGAGGTGTTATGGAGGCCCAGGATGCTTCGATAGCGGCCTTAAGCTCATCCAGAGTGTTGGGTCTTGCATCTCTCAACTTTCTCTTCACAATATCCCACAGACTCTCTCTGGGGTTCAGGTCAGGAGAGTTGGCAGGCCAATTGAGCACAGTAATACCATGGTCAGTAAACCATTTACCAGTGGTTTTGGCACTGTGAGCAGGTGCCAGGTCATGCTGAAAATGAAATTTTCATCTCCATAAAGCTTTTCAGCAGATGGAAACATGAAGTGCTCCAAAATCTCCTGATAGCTAGCTGCATTGACCCTGCCCTTGATAAAACACAGTGGACCAACACCAGCAGCTGACATGGCACCCAGACCATCACTGACTGTGGATACTTGACACTGGACTTCAGGCATTTTGGCATTTCCCTCTGCCCAATCTTCCTCCAGACTCTGGCACCTTGATTTCTGAATGACATGCAAAATTTGCTTTCATCTGACAGAAGTACTTTGGACCACCGAGCAACAGTCCAGTGCTGCTTCTCTTTAGCCCAGGTCAGGCTCTTCTGCCGCTGTTTCTGGTTCAAAGGTGGCTTGACCTGGGGAATGCGGCACCTGTAGCCCATTTCCTGCACACGCCTGTACACGGTGGCTTTGGATGTTTCTACTCCAGACTCAGTCCACTGCTTCCGCAGGTCCCCCAAGGTCTGGAATCGGTCCTTCTCCACAATCTTTCTCAGGGTCCGGTCACCTCTTCTCGTTGTGCAGCGTTTTCTGCCACACTTTTTCCTACCGACAGACGTCCCACTGAGGCGCCTTGATACAGCACTCTGGCAACAGCCTATTTGTTCAGAAATGTCTTTCTGTGTCTTACCCTCTTGCTTGAGGGTGTCAACGATGGCCTTCTGGACAGCAGTCAGGTTGGCAGTCTTACCCATGATTGCGATTTAGAGTAATGAACCGGGCTGGGAGTTTTTAAAAGCCTCAGGAATCTTTTGCAGGTGTTTAGAGTTAATTAGTTGATTCAGATGATTAGGTTAATAGCTTGTTAGAGAACCTTTTCATCATATGATAATTTTTTGAGATATTGTTTATTGTTTATTTATTTAGCAGATGCTTTTATCCAAAGCGACTTACAATTTATAGCCTATAGGGCATGTTGTGATCTGTGGGGGAAACCGGAGTACCCGGAGGAAACCCACGCATGCATGGGGAGAACACGCAACTCCACGCAGACAGGCCACAGCTGAGTTTCGAACCTGCGACCTTCGTGCTGCGAGGCAACAGTGTTAACCACTGTTCCACCATGCAGCCCAGATAGGAATTTTGGGTTTTCATGAGCTGTACGCCAAAATCATCAATATTAGAAACAATAAAAGGCTTGAACTACTTCAGTTGTGTGTAATAAATCTAATATATATGAAAGTCTAATGTTTATCAGTACATTACAGACAATAATGAACTTTATCACAATATGCTATTTTTTTAGAAGGACCTGTAGACACTGCCTGTACAAACAATAAGTTTCCCTGGATGTAACTAAATAAACAGGTGGGAGCTTCCTATTGGATAATTATTGCATGGTGATCATCTTTCAGCTGCAACGAGTTTCTTCTCATTTCTTAAACAACCATGTGGAAAGACACATATTCTAGTTTCATTAGTCAGTGTGAGAAGGGTCAGATCATTGGTATCAAGCAGAGAGAATATCTAAGGAGATGCAGAAACAACTAAAACTGGGTTAAGAACTGTGCAACACGTTATTAAAAACTGGTCTGATGAGTCCAGATGGACCCAGTTCCAGAGTGATGGTGCATCAGGGTAAGAAGAGCGGCAGATTAAGTGATGCACCCATCATGCCTAGTGCCTACTGGACAAGCCTGTGGGGGCAGTGCTATGATCTGGGCTTGCTGCAGTTAGTCAGGTCTAGGTTCAGCAACAGGATGTGCTCCAAGGATGTGGTCAGCTGACTAGTTGAATGACCTGGGTATTCCATCTTCCCTGATGGCATGGGCATATTCCAAGATGTCAGGATTCATCAGGCTCTAATAGTGAAAGAGTGGTTCAGGGAGCACGAGACACCATTTTCACACATGGATTGGCCACCACAGAGTCCTGACCTTAACCCCATTGAGAATCTTTGGGATGTGTTGGAGAAGACTTTGTGCAGCGGTCAGACTCTACCATCATCAATGCAAGATCTTGGTGAAACATTAATGCAACACTGGACGAAAACAAATCTGGTGACATTGTAGAAGCTAGGCTGGACAGTACAGGTGCTGGTAATAACATTAAAATATCATGACAACGTTAATTGATTTCAGTAATTCCATTCAAAGTTGAAACTTGTATATTAGATTAATTTATTACACACAGACTGATATATTTCACATTTACTTCTTTAATTTTGATAATCATAACAACTAATGAAAATCCCAAATTTAGTTTCTCAGTATATTAGAATATTGTGAAAAGTTTCAATATTGAAGACCCCTGGTGCCACACTCTAATCAGTTAATTAACTCAAAACACCTGCAAAAGCCTTTAAATGGTCTCTCAGTCTAGTTCTGTAGGCTACACAATCATGGGGAAGACTGCTGACTTGATAATTGTCCTAAAGACGACAATTGACACCTTGCACAAGGAGAACAAGACACAAAAAGTCATTGCTAAAGAGGCTGGCTGTTCAGAGCTGTGTCCAAGCACATTCATAGAGGTGAAGGGAAGGACAAGATATAAAATAAAAAAAAAATAAAAAAAGTAAGAGCTACAGGGATAACGCACCCTGAAGAGGATTGTGAAACTAAACCCATTCATAATGTGGGTGAGGTTCACAATGAGTGGACGGCAGATAGTCAGTGCTTCAGGAACCACCACACAAAGATGCACCATACAGGCCACACCTCCTCATTCAATGTGTTGTCTTTATTTTCATGACCATTTACATTGGGAGATTCTTACTGAAGGCATCAAAAGTAAGAATGAACACATGTGGAGTTATGTACTTAACCAAAAAAGGTGAAATAACTGAAAACATGTTTTATAAAGCATGTTTTAGCCAGTCTTTGATCTGCTTACTGCTTTGTTTATAACACTTCTGGCATTCTCTTGATGAGTTTCAAGAGGTTGTCACCTGAAATGGTTTTGTAACAGTCTTGGGAGTTCCCAGAGGTGTTTAGCACTTGTTGGCCCCTTTGTAAATGGTCATGAAAATAAAGGAAACACATTGAATGAGAAAGTGTGTCCAAACATTTGGCCTGTACTGTATGCAAGACATGGTTTCAGCTGTCACATTCCTTGTGTCAAGCCACTCTTGAACAAGAGTGTCAGAAGCTGGACTAAAGACGAGGACAGGACTGCTGCTGAGTGGTCCCAAGTTATGTTCTCTGTTAAAAGTAAATTTTGCATTTCCTTTGGAAATCAAGGTCCCAGTCTGGAGGAAGACAAGATATCGATATTGCTTGAGGTCCAGTGTAAAGTTTCCAGTCAGTGATGGGTTGGGGTGTGATGTCATCTGCTGGTGTGGGTCCATTGTGCTTTCTGAGGTCCGAGGTCAACGCAGTCATCTACCAGGAAGTTTTAGAGCACTTCATGGTTCCTGCTGCTGAACAACTTTATGGAAAAGATTTCATTTTCCAACAGGACTTGGCTCCTGCACTCAGTGCCAAAGCTACCAGTGCCTGGTTTAAGGACTATGGTACCCCTGTTCTTGATTGGCCAGCAAACTCACCTAACCATAACCCGATAGATCTATGGATTAGTGTGAAGAGGAAGATGGAATATGCCAGACCTAACGATTCAGAAGAGCTGAAGGCCACCATCAGAGCATCATTGGCTTTCATAACACCTGAGCAGCGCCACAGACTGATGAACTCCATGACACGCCACATTGCTGCAGTGATCCAGGCCAAAGGAGCCCCAACAAAACACTGAGTGCTTTACATGCTCATACTTGTCAGTTGGCCAACATTTCTGAAATCTGCATTGGTCCTAATTGATATTTTAATATTCTGAGATACTGATTTTGGGTTTTTTATTAGTTGTCAGTTATAATCAACATTAAAGAAAACGTGAAAAACAGAAAACGTGAAAAACATCAGTCTGTGTGTAATGAATGAATCGAACATACAAGTTGAACCTTTTGAATGGGATTACTGAATCAAATCAACTTTGTCACGATATTCTAGTTTCATGCCCAGCACCTGTATGTGTGTAAAATATGTACAATATGTAATGGTCTCTGTAGTTACATGACCACCATGAGACAAACTCCTGAGTTCTGCGGTGATTTGGTTTCCTTCAAGCAAAACGAACCAAACCAACAAGGAAACACGGCTCCTGTGTGAGCTGGCAGCATCAAACACCGGTTTTACCTGAACAGGGTTTTGTTGACTCCAGAGCATTAAACATGATCGGACCTTGAAACGATCACATGAACATTGCTATGTGGTGTCGACGTCCAGGTTCAGCTGCATTCTGCAGCCATCTGTTATTTTATGACATTATTAAATTCAGCTTCACATCTGTACATGAGACCTTTTCTTTTGTAGAAGTGAGTTTGTTGAAAGACCAGAGAGAGACAGATGGTCTGTGAAACCTTCTTTATTCACACCATTTTCTACTAGAGCTATGTTAGAAGTTAACATAAGTATCAGTCCTCTAGTTCCTATGCTGATCCGTCATCTGTACACACTATATAAAAAAGGTCAATAATACATTTAGAAATCCACGCGGGCTGTCATCTGAGGAGGCCAAGTGTTGGTGAGGGGTTTCTGTGTCCCAGTCCATCCCCCGTCTCAGCCTCCTGCCTTTGTTTTTTCAGATAAACAAAAGAAGACACTGAACCCAGAACTCGGAACGGGCCGCGAAGCGCTTCGACTGTACAGCTCACGCAGAACACAACAGGTCATTTACAGAGCATGGGAAAAGAGGAATCATACTGCTCAGGCACAATACAGACACAATACAATGGCATCGGACAAAAGTACCAGTAAAAAGAGACTTTATAAGCAGTTCATAGAAACCAGAGAGAGCAGACCTGGAGTAAACAAATCAAGAATATATACAGTGAGGTAAAACACATTGGTCTTTAATCGGAGGTATTTTCTTTTTGATTAAGTGACCTTTCCATGTTAGTTACCGTATACTTCTGAAGATGCTCCTCAGCTTTTGGATGACATCGATAAAGTAGACACACAATCACACGCAGTCCTGCCCTCTGACGAGGAGACGGCCAACATGTCGGATCCAACTTAGGCACCAAAAAAAGATATGTGATAAAGCTTCTGCTACGTTTGTCGTCACAAAGCCGCACTGCAGCCCCGCCCCCAACACGCCTCAGACTCTCAGGGAGAAGCCTCAGCAGGCTACATCCCTCAGCTGGTCTCAGATCTGAGCTGTTAAATCAGACGTTACCAACTCCACCCAACCTGCTAGTAAAGGCGAGTCAGCAGGTTTAACCAGATCCTTAAAAGAGAGGCTTTGATGTTAAATGTATAATCCACCTGACACCATGTTCCTCAGTTGTGTTGATGATGCTACATCTCCATATCTCAACTATGGCCTTCACTGAAGGTCAAGAACAAGGTTCTTCAGCAGCAACACCTGTTTAAAGAACCAGATATGTCTTCAGAGGACTGTCCTCAGGTCCGTCTGAACATCGTCGCCCCTCTGTGTGAAGATTCTGGACCTGAGAGCTGAACCATCTGGGCTGCAGTGAGGGCCGACACCCCCAGCTGAAGGTGGAATGACAGAAACAAGGCAGTAATGATAAAGAGCTGTCTACGTGTTGTGAACAGAAAGGTTAGAAGGCTGCTGGTGACTTAAGACAGAATGAAGCTTGTGATGTTCGAGGTGTCCCAGAAGTACTACAGAAGATATTTACAAAACTCAACACGTCAACTCTTCCACCCGACCACTTCTACATAAAGAACCTTTCTTCGTAGGAAACCTCAGGGCAGCAGAGATGAGAGGGGTGGACAAACATCTGCGTCCAAAGCAACAATCATGGAGCCTCCACTTACAGGTCCGACAGGCCCAGCCCTGGTTCTACTGATCCAAACCCAACTGCCCACATGGAGCGACGAGTGTTGAAGAAGCGGTTGGTAGCTTACAAAAGGACTTAAATGAAGCCAAACCAGATCGTTACCTTCACGTCTCGATTCTTCTGATCTCTACACAAGTTAGTGACCTGAACGGAGGAAGAAACTAGTCTGAGACCGGTTCTGGTTTCCATCAGGCCCACAGAAGCTGCAGCTCAGTCACCAGGAGCGGTGTTTAGACCTGATGACAGCAGCTGAGCTGATGGCTCAGATCTGCATCCAAGCAGCATGGCACGTCACAATCAGACTGACCCAAACCAGGCACAGAAGGCCCGGCGGACCGTTACGTAGCAGCGCGTCAACACACCATGAACCCAGAAGAAGAATGAAGACGAAGGACAGAATCGTTGACATCCAACCCGCCATACAGCTGAACTCAGAAGACGATTGGCTGATGTGACGACAGTATTTGTTCAGACTCAGAACCAGTTCCGACTCGTTCAGATGTATGGCAGCGTTGGCCATCACAGGACTGAGAAAACCTCTACATCAGGTGCTACATACATCTCTTCTGTCTTTAACATAAAATCAAACTACTTTATCATAGTAATCAACCATCATCGTATATACATATTTATATATCTTCTCAATAAAAACAATAACAAAACAGATAAGAGCGTATGCTGACTCTTACGTGTTGGTCCCTTAAGGCTTGCTAAGCTGAAGTGACAAGAACTTCTTGTTTTTGTCTTAAAATGTACATTCTGGTAGAAAAAGGCTGTGCAACGAAAAAGACAACAAGAACACACCCCTGGTGAACCTATGGCTTAGTAAATATTCATTTGCTATATTTAAATCAAAGTAGCACACTGCTTTGTGTTGATTATCTAACAAGAAGTCTTGCAGGTTGGCGTGTGCTGCTGTCGCAGCGCCACACGAATAACAGAATCGACATTTACAGGAAACATCAGTAATGCTTGCAGGTCTGTGTAGGAGCCACCAGGGGGCAGCGTCGTTCCAGCTGCAGAGGAGCTGGATGTTCAGGAGGAAGGTGAAGTCTAACGGCATGGCACCAGAGAGTCTGCGGTCGTAGTTTGGTGTGTGTGTGTGTGTGTATGCGTGCGTGCGTGTGTGTGTGTGTGTGTGTGTGTGTGTGTGTGTGTGTGTGTGTGTGTGTGTGTGTGTGTGTGCGTGCGTGTGTGTGTGTGTTCCCTTTGCTACCCGTCCCTATGTTCTGGGAGTGCATAGTACAAGCTTGCTGTATCCTGGGTTCCTGCAGGCCTTTCCTGGCGCGCGCGCGCACACACAGACACACAGACACACACAGACACACAGACACACAGACACACAGACACACACAGACACACACAGACACACAGACACACAGACACACAGACACACACAGACACACAGACACACACAGACACACACACACACACACACACACACACACACACACACTGTAGAGGCCCGGCACAGCGCACCACAGCAGCCGACCGACCGACGTGAGAGGAGTTGGGTTTTAAAGCACTGGCACTTTCTGGTAACAGCTGGTTTGGAAGGCATGGTGGCAGCTGATTGTTGTTGGTCTTGCTGTTTGTAGTTTAGCAGAGGAGAGTAGAGAAAATAGACACATTTATCGACTGTATATTGCATATGTTGCAGCATGTTCGCCAAGAATGAATGAGGTCACAGAGTCCAGTTCAGTTTAGCAATAAAGTACCCTGCCACCAGAACAAAAAATCCAACAACACAATGAGTTCAAGATGACCTGTGGTTCCTGACAGCACCAGGAGAAAGGTTCAGCTCACGACGCCACATGGAGGACCAGAACCCGGGCCCCAACGCTCCAGCGGGGCTGCAGACCCGTTCAGTCGGCTCCTCTAACCCATCCGACGCACTGACAGAACCCGTCCTAAAGCACTGAGGTCTGGAGGTCCGACACACGAACCAGAACCACCGGTTGGTGTGCATATGTCGAGCTACGGACACGACCACGCCAGTACCTTCAATGGGAGCCTTTATCGGGTTACTCCATGAAGTCAAGTGGCGACACGCGCCATATTCCAGTTAGCCGATCGGTAAACAAATGCTAAAGCTAAAGCAGGATGTGCACGATGGCCAAAGGTAAGAACAACGCACCAGCACACGTTGCTTGGTACATGTACCACTTCATGGTAGTAAACATCAGATTCATACAGAGTCTTGGAGCAATGACATCATCAGAGGTCTCATCAGGAGGGGGCGTGTCCAGGTCAGTCACAGCTGGACCTAGCTGGGATGCAGCCACATAAATCTGGATACCTTAGCTCCATTAAAGTCCCGTTAAGCTCTACTTCAGCTGGACTAAGGTGTCTTCATGCATTTCAAAAGTGCGACTTTAGCCAGACGACGGCAACGGTTTGGCTTTCTCCAGGGCAACGTTCACACTGCAGGCTAAAGTGCATCAGATCCCACGTGCCACCCATATCCGATTTTTTACGACAGTCTGAACAGCACAGATCAGAGTTTTTCAAATCTGATCCAGGTCACTTTCACATGCAGTACTGAATCTGATACTTGTGAAAGCGACTGCGACTCTGAACGGTCCTCCTATGTCACCGAGTCAGCGCAGGAGAGAGTCGCGTGATGCCGTGGACGTCCTGCGTCTCTCCGGTCTCAGTCTCCGTGAGTGGGGGTGGGAGGCGTCTCTGTGAGAGCAGAACGTTTTCAGGAAGATGGCGGGAATAAATAGTTCATAGATTTTAAGACGGTTTCCAGCCCAGATCGGGACACTTGACAGGTGTGATGCCCAGTGAGAGCTTTCACATCACAACCCCGCCTCTCCTGGTTCCGACTCCACTGTGCGACTTCCTGTCTCGCTTTGGTGCCGCGAGACGTCCCCACTGGAGAATGTTTAGTGTTGCGTCTCAGTTATAATGTGGAGAGCCACAATGAGAAGGGACCATCAACACCTGCAGTGAGAACCTAGCCTAAGTGCATGTAAACACCGGCTGCACACAGATCCACATCAGACCAAGCGTGTTGGCATGACGACCACACGTTTGCGTGCTAACTGACCTGTTAACACAAGTGCAGCATCTGGGTCTGAGGTGGGACCTGCGGTAGGGCGGTGTGGGGAGGCATCACACCCGCTGTTAGAAGGATGGAGATGTCTCAGGATGCTGCTGATGAGCACAAACGCCTTCTACGTTAGTTTTAGGTGACGATCAATGGCAGCTGAGAGACGGTGTCCTTCTAACATCTAGAGAACTTCGCTCTGTAACAATCACGCCGTCAGCCTGGGTCTGCAGCCGCACCGAGGAACATCTAACATCTGAGCTGAAGAACAAGACACGTTTACAGAAGAGAGGGAGAAGATGAAAATGAAGCTGCATCCCAGGCACCTCCATCATCCACTTCAGGCACAAGCATTCTTCATCTTCATATTAGTGTGTGTGTGTGTGTGTGTGTGTGTGCGTGTGTGTGTGTGTGTGTGTGCGTGTGTGTGTGTGTGTGTGAAGCCAAACACACACACAACCAGATTCTTCTGTCGATCAGTGAGA